CTAAGTCTCCCTCCCGCGAGGCGTGAGCGTTGGTCACGGCTGCTCCTCCCGTGGCCGGCCTGATCCTGGCAGCCCGGTGAAGAGCAGGGCTCACCGGCCAGCTGCCCTCCGGGGGAGCGAGCAGGCGGCGAGCCCGGCTCAGGGCAGAGCCCCCGAGAGGGTTCCAGCCGGGAAGTGTGTTCGCCCCGGGCTGCTTTCCGTACCGTATGTCAGGCTTGAGATTCTGCCATTGCTTGTTTCAAGTTAATGATCTGAATTTTATGTGCAAGAACCCTCTGAAAACATTAAAAGGAAAGCGGGGCGGGAACAGGCGCTGAACAGCGGGGGAGAGGCGCATTTGGCTCTCGGGGGCCGCGCGTGAGTCACGGAGCCATCTGCCTGAGAGCCCCGACGCCGCTCCTCAAACATGTGCATTGAAAGTCGCTCCCTCAGAGGAAGACGCAGATGAGAACACTAATTAAAAAAAACAACCACCGCCAAACGCATGCAAATGTCTGCAAAGCAGGGAGGTTGTGACCGCGTGTACGAGCAACACTGCTCTCTGGGAAGCACTAATTGCCCCTCGCACGGGAGCTGCACGGGGGCTCAGGCTGGGCATGGTGGGCGGCTTCCCACAGCAGATGGACAGCAGGCCGGGGAGAGAGGCGGTGGAAGAGGACAAGACCCAACAAGCATGCTCAGGGCACCACCCCAGCTCCACCTCGCACGGCCGTCCCTCTCTGTCTGTGTCTGTCTTCACAGGGGAGGTCTGCAGGTCTGTGTGTCTGAGTCCAATTCCTCCATCCCCGTGGTCGGCAAACTGCGGCTCTCGAGCCACATGCGACTCTTTGGCCCCTGGAGTGTGGCTCTTCCACAAGATACCATGGCCTGGGCGAGTCTATTTTGAAGAAGTGGTCTTAGCCGAAACCGGTTTGGCTCAGTGGTAGAGCGTCGGTCTGTGGAATGAAAGGTCCCAGGTTCGATTCCGGTCAGGGGCATGCACCTGGGTTGCGGGCACATCCCCAGTAGGGGGTGTGCAGGAGGCAGCTGGTCGATGTTTCTCTCTCATCGACGTTTCTAGCTCTCTATCTCTCTCCCTTCCTCTCTGTAGAAAATTAATAAAATATATATTTAAAAAAAAAAGAAAAAAAAGAAGTGGTGTTAGAAGAAGTTTAAATTGAAAAAATGTGGCTCTCAAAAGAAACGTCAATCGTTGTCCTGTGGACTAAGGAGTTTGCTGACAAGCTGCACTATTCCACTCGGACCCACCCAATCCTGTGAGACAGCCTTTTAATTCAACTCATTACACCTGCAACCTTCTTACTTCCAAATAAGGCCACGTTCCCAGGAACCTGGGGTTAGAGCTTGAATGCATCTTTTTTGGGGCACATGTCACTCCACGTGTGTTCCACATCGGAACATCACTCCTTCCCCTCCCTGCTTTGACTGGAGAAGGCCGGTCTGTGGGTCCAGCAGGCATTCTCTCCGTCGCCTGCAGCTGCCCAGTAAACAGGCAAACAGCCGAAACCAGTTTGGCTCAGTGGATAGAGCATCGGTCTGCGGACTGAGAGGTCCCAGGTTCGATTTCGGTCAAGGGCATGTATATTGGCTGAGGGCACATTCCCAGTGGGGGGTGTGCAAGAGGCAGCTGGTCCATGTTTCTCTCTCATCGATGTTTCTAGCTATCTCTCTCCCTTCCTCTCTGTAAGAAAATCAATTAAAAAAATATTAAAAACAAAACAAACAAACAACAACAACAACAACAAAAACAGGCAAACCCCACATGGTGGTGTCGGCGACACGGAACGGCTGTGCAAGGCCTGCCCCGATGGGGCGTCTCGGGAGCGGGAAGCGGAGCTCCCAGGTCCACAGGCTCCCGTAGAAAAGGTGCCGTAGAAAGGCGACGTTACCCTTCTCAGCTATAAGGCCCCACGAAGAGGCGGGGCCACCCGCACGGCCGCTGCAGCCTGACTGCAGGACGGCTCCCGGTGCCTCGCGCAGCCGATGCCAAAAGCAGAAAGAGCTCCAGCCAGCCTGCACGCCGAGCAGACCCACATGTGCCTTTAATTATTTTATTTTTAATTTCCTGGGCTTCCAGCCCAGAAAGTGGATGGGAATTTTATTTAAACCTGCTCTTGTGTATCAACTCCGGGTAAATAGCAGGTTGTTGGCGGCCGCACACCAGGCCCTCCATTGGGAGCAGGGGGAGGAAGGGAAGTGATCCCTCTCTCTAAACAGACACCGGTGCACGCACAGCTCACCTGTGCTGAGGGCGACACGGCGGCCCGCCCTAAACACCCATTGCCATTCCTGGGCCCTTGGCATGTGCATGCCCCCTGCACCCCACGGCGCCCAGACTCGGAGTCCATTCCATCCCCTTCCGGCACCGATCCGCGCCCCCCAGCCCCGGCAGTGCAGTCGGAGTTTGGCGATGACTGATGACTTGGTGGGGGCGGGGGGACAGGCGGGGGTGTCCAGGGGCTCAGGCTTACGTTTCTCGCTCATGTGAATTCAGTGCTGTCCGGTCTTGCCCTGTGGCTCTGCTGCCCGGCGCCAGCCACGCCCCATGGGATAACAATGTTCTCTCCCTTCCCACTAGACAGGGCGCGGAGGGAAAGGCACCAGGTGCCCTCGCCCTAGGAACACGGGGAGGAGGCACCGTGTGACGGATGTGGGCAGGGGCACCATTTGCATGCCCTCCTCTCAGTTCCTCCCAGAATTCTCCAGTACTACCCAAGCCCATCCTCCCAGACCACAAGCAAAGGGTTATTTACACTAACCAATAACAAGAGAAGCGGCCATAAACAACCTCTCTGCACCCAGTCCCTTTGGCTAAGGACAGAGACCTTAAGAAGCCAAAATTTACTGCGACGTAATTCTGATGGGCGAAAGCACATTATTTTTATTTATAGTAGGGAGCGCTATCTATCCTTGCCTCCCTGCTTTGAAACCCAAATCCTCCCAGCTTTTATTATTATTTTTTTTAATGCAGCTGTTCTCCCTACAAGAAAGAACAGTATATTGTCAAAGGGAGAGGAGAGGACAAAAGTGGCCACACACCCCCCTCCCAATGTATTCCAGGCCCCAGGTGTGCTCTTAGGCCCACATGTGTCAAACACAAGGCCGGCGGGCCAAATCCATCCCGCCAGGCCTTGCAATGTGGCCCACACCATGCTGTCATCACTGCACTCCGCTGCGTTTCCATCACAATGACAGTTTATGACTGTTCAGTAAACCATTCGGCCCGCGATTTAGGCTGGATTTTAGATTTTGGCCCCTTCTCTGATTGAGTTCGACACCCCTAGGGGAAGGGTGGGGAAGGGTGGGGAAGGGTGGGGAAGGGTGGAGCTGGGGGACAGAGGTGTGAGCTCATCACTGCCCCCTAGTGTCAGGCCTTTGCAGCAGGTCCTTCCACCCTGCATCCCTGGGCCTGGGTTCTACCTCTTGTCTTTTCAAACCCCCCAAAGGGGAGTTTTCTCAGCGACAGGAGTCAAAAGGGCCCTTTCCCTTCCCTCCCTCCAGTACGAGGACTAGGAGAGAGGAGAGGACAGAGAGGGCACAGGGCTAGAAGCTGCCTTTTGGTCAAAGTAAGCAAACAAGTAAACTATAAACTTCAGACACACTTTGAAATGTGGACCCTGGGCCCACACGCCTGCCCAGAGTCCAGCACCCCTTGCTGACCTGACCTCTCACACATGCATTCCAGGGAAAAGCCACACACTGGACTGCCAGCCTCCTACACCAGGCTCCTGCTGGCTGAGCAAGCCTTATAAAGGGGTCCCTGGAATCCCAGTTCAACCAATGGGATGAGAGACCTGCTCGTCCAATGGGAGCTGAACAGCCATACTTCATTTGCATCTTTGCTGAGCAATCAGAACATGCCACGCTATGCAAATTTTGGTTTCCTCATTCGCATAAGGATTGACCCATTCGGGACCAGGGTGGCACTCTAAGTAAGAGACCTCCCCTGCGCCCTCCGGAGGCTGTTCCCCTTGTTCCCAAAATGTTCACCCGAAGAAAGTTCCTCCTTTCACCAGACCCCAGATGGGTGGTAGTCACGTCCAGTTGACAAAAACAATGTCAAAGCATTCTAGAACTCAGTGGGACTTTTTTTTAAAAACGCCGCGGGACACATTGTTAAAAATCGGGACTGTCCCGCCAAAAGCCGGAGGGACGTCTGGTCACCTTATCCTAGAAGAATGCCATTGTGCTGCGTCTCAGATCGGACTCCTGGAAGAAGCCCGAGGCCCATGAACTTACAGTCCCAGACCCAGGGTTCTCTGGGGAGAAAGAAACCCATAACCGTGCAGTGTTTCCCAAAGTGTGGTACACGTACCCCCGGGGGGAACGGGAAGAGTCTGGCGAGGGTACGCGTTGCACCGGAGTTTGGTGGGGGTATGCACTGCACCGTGCTTAGCTGCGCCTAATTCTATGTTCTCATGAGCATGAGGAGTACTCAGCGTTATGGAAATTATAGAAGGGCACACATATGTCAAAAGTTTGGGAAACACTGCGGCATAACAGACTCCCTTCAAGCGCGCAGTCCACTGCCCAGGGTGCAGCGCACCAGGAACAACCACCCGCTGTATTTATTATTCACACCGGGGTCGGGTCCGGAGCGCGGCAGGTGCAATCTATCCATCCCTACCTTCACCGCGCTCCCCGCCAGCTGCGTGCTCAGGAGGAGGCCACCCAGCAGCTGCGCTGCTCTCCGCCCTCCAGCGCCACCTGGGGGCCGCAGGCCAGAGGCACTTGGATGCTCAGCGCGAGGACGAGGCGTGCGGCGTGGGCGCGTGGGGGCGGGGCGTGGGCGCGCGGAGGCGGGGCGTGAGCGCTCATGGGGCGTGGTCCCGCCGGGCCGGAGCACGCGGGGGCGTGGCGTAGGAACCGGAGCGCACAGATTGCCGGGGGCGTGGGCGCACGGGGCGGGGCCGCAGGCGCGGGTCCCGATTGGCTGCTGACGAGCCGGCGCCCCGCCCACCCCCGCCCTGGCCCCGCCCCTATCAGCGCCGCTCGGCGGAGGCGCCGGCTGCAGGACCGCGGCTGCCCAGACAGACGCGCAGCCAGGCCGGCGGGGTGCGTGGCGCTGCCGGGCGGGGACGGCGCGCACCCTGAAGGCGCACGGAGGCCGCGGGATCAGGTAGGTCGGGATGTCCGGCCTCGCGCCGCTGCCAGATCGGCTGGGCATGCTGACTTGGTGGCCCCCGGGTTGCAAAGTTTGGGGAAGACGAGGCATCTCTATAGCCCGTGTGCTTTGGGGGCGCTTGTGTTCCCTTCAGGCGGGGGCTGTTTGGGGTGAAAAGATTGGTCCCCGGCTCCGGCGGGGGCTGTGCCCGCCTGGCCCTCTGGCCGGCCCTGAGCGCTGAAAGTTGCGAAGCCGCGGTACACAGAGAAGGAGCGCTGGTGGCCCCTGGTCTAGTAGGAAGGTGACAGCGGTGAGCCCGGGAACCCCCTTCCCTCCGGGCTGGGGGACGCGGGTGCAGGATTCCTCGCTAGACATCAAGTTTTCTCAGCTTCATCTCCACTTCCAAGGCTGCCCCAGTGGACTGAGAGCAGTCTGGGTTCCTGAGCTCGGACCCGGGTCTCCGCTGCTTCTCCTTCTCTAAAGAGAGCCTGCAAAGCATCCCATGCGCGCGGGCCACCCAGTCCCACCCCAGCGGCTGCTGGGCGCCGGGTCACAGCACTGCAGGGACAGGCTGTGGTGCCGGAGACATGCATATAGCCTCTGCGCTCAGCTGTGCACAGCTAGCTGCTCAGGGCTGCCGGTCTGTGCCCCTTCCCCGCGCTGCATTTGCTTTATGGCTTTGCAAGCAGGAGATGCTCCCACAGCAAATGATTTCATAATCAATGGTGCCACTCAGGCAAGGAGAGGCAGTCCCTCTTCGGAGCCCTGGGGAAGGGGTGGCCAGCCTGGTCCCCTGCAACCAGGATTGGAGGAAGAAGCAGTGAGCAGGAGCGAGGCAGACAGACGGGGGATGTGTGATGTGCAGAGAGGTCGGAAACCCTGGCGCCTGCGGTGAGGAGGTAAATCCAGAGATCATCTCAAGTGATGAAGCAGGGGAAAAAAATATTAGGGAGGCTGTGTGCGCTGTGGTTTGTGCGCCTGCCCCCGTGGAGATGAATATCCTGCTCGCTGAAAAGAACCCTGATCTGTAAATAGATTAAAAACAGGAATTAATGCGAACAATGAGTCAGGCCTTCGGAGATTGACAGGATGGATAATTGCCTTGGAAAGAGCTACTGTGTCTCCGTATCGCTCCAGTGTGTTGCTCCGGTGGCAGCATTATTGGCTGTGTTTGGTAACAGTGACTTCGGCTCCCAGGCCCTGGCCTGTCAGTGTGTGGGTTTAACCCTTTGTGGGTCGTGGGACCAGGGAGGAAGTGGCAGGTGCATCCATTGTCATAACCACGTGGACGGCACGTGCAAAAGCCCAGAACGTGCCAGGGACAGGTCCGGTGGCAGGACAGGCCGAAGTGGGACGGACAGGACGCCCAGTGGGACCCCTGGACGGATCTGTACCCCCGGGGGCCTCAGGCTGGTGGCTGCACTGTTCAGGTGAAGGCCAGGTGGGCTGGGTATGTGCCGGCTCCTGCCGGGAGAGGGGCCAGGCCGGCTGAGACACCCCAAGGCTCATGGACTGATGCATTCGGCAGCCGAGGCCTCAGACAGTGACATCCAGCCCCGTGTCCCTCTCCCTGTCTGGATGTCATTAATGTCAGCCTCCAGCCCGGAAGCCGTGACGTGCACTTCTCGGAGGAGCTTAACTTTTAAACATCGTTCCTGACACAGCCCCGGAGCCTGGGGAGTCCTTAAAATGGCCACAGCTCCTCCCATAGGACCCACGTGCCCCCAGGCTCCGCTGGAGCCGAGAGCAGCCGTGGACTCTCCCCGGCTCATTTATGCTCGATGCCCTCCAGGTCTCACTTCATACAAAACACATCTTCCTCGTGTATGGGTTTCCCACTCCTCCCCCCACACCCAGCGCACATCTTCCAGCTTCGTTTTTCCTGAAAATGGAAGCGTCCAACCTGAAGTTTCCATCAGCTCTCGCTACGGTTTGCGCTGAAATCGTACAGAGCGATCACCGCACCTTTTCTTTTTCTTTAAATGTATTTTTTATTGTTTCCAGAGAGGCAGGGAGAGGGAGAGGGAGAGATAGAGACATCAAGGATGAGAGAGAATGATGGCTCGGCTGCCTCCTGCACACCCTTCACTGGGGATCGAGCCCACAACCGGGGCGTGTGCCGTGGACCAGAATCCATCTCAGGACCGGTCCACAGGCTGATGCTGGATCCTCTGAGCCAAACCAGCGAGGTCTAGACCTGCACCACCTTCTCCTGCTGCAGGACATACACATCTCAGCATGTGGGGGGCCCTGTCAGCAGGCAGAGGAGGGATGCTCTGTTTCCCTGTCCCCAGTAAGTCGTTAGCAGGGAAGTCATGTTAATTGTATGTAGTGGGAGGGGATTGGATGGCGAGGGATTTATTGATGCTGTGGGCGTGTGGCTGCCCCCTCAGCATCAGTCACCCCCGCCGTCTGCCTGGAAGCCCGCTGTCCCTGTGAGGGTGAGCGTGTCTGACATGCTCCCTGGTTTGGACCCGCCTTTGCTACGCCGTGGTTGGTGGTGGACGTGTCCCTTTCTTACGCCCGACCTTGGTGCACAGAGAGCATCCTTTTGCAGAGACGCCGGGCAGTGATTGGAGTGTGGGGACACAGGTTCCTGTAGGGTACCAGAGGTCTTTGAAATGGAGGGATGATGGGTCTCAGGTTCCCATCTGATGGGGAATGAACATTTTGGAAGTGAGCAAGTGGGCTAAGTGGTGTTTGGTTTTTCAGTCCCCGCCCTGCCCCTTCTCTCCCCCTCCTCCCCTTCCTCCCCCTCCCCTCCACCCCCTGTCCTCACTGCATCTGTCTCCGACACACCATGGTGGGCACATGTCTTTTGAAAATCTGCTGCAGGAGGCAGGCACCCGGGTTGAGACTCCGCCTGCCACGTTTCCATCCCCAGGGCTTTCCGTTCTGCCCTTTCACGTGCACGTTACACGCAAGAAGTGAGGGTCCTCGGTAGACGCGCTGGCAGAACTCGGTGGCACCTCAGACAGCTCAGCTGCGTGGAATGTAAATATTTGTAGCATCCTGGCTGTGCCAAGAGGCGGCCTTGGAGGAAGCGGGAGACAGCGGCTGCCTGTGAAGGGAGTTGAAGTAATTCCGACGATGCGCGTGCTCCTTGTTGCAGATGGTGCGTCTTAGGACCTGGGTTATGTAGGCTACTCTCTTAGGTGCTCTGTGACTCAGGGTGCGAACTTCCAGGGGCTAGAACCGGAGGGCCAGCTTGCCTCCTTTGCTTTTCTAACTCGCTTGGCGGAGTGCCTCTTGGATGTTGGGGTGAGATCTGTCACTCAGAAACGACTTGGATTGCGTGGCTGATCCGGGAGCCTGTCCCAGCACCGCTTGCCTGGGGAGAAAGGATTCCTGGGCTCATGACAACACTTCACAGGCTCTGCCCGGCCAGCATGGCTCAGCGGTTGAGCATTGTCCTGTGCACCAAGAGGTTGCTGGTTCAATTCCCCACCAGGGCACATGCCCAGGTGGCAGGCTCAGTCCCCAGTAGGGGGCGTGCAGGAGGCAACCAATTGATGTGTTTCTCTCCCATTGATGTTTCTCTCTCTGTCTCCCCTCTTCCCTTCCACTCTCTCTATTTAAACATTTTATTTTAAAATAGAAATGGAAAAATATCCTCGGGTGAGGATTAACAACAACAACAACAACAACACACATACGCACACACAGCAACAAACACAAACACAGGACATTCGTTGGGGTTTTTCTGCACCAGCCTGGGTCCGAGCACTGGGTTGCACATCTCGCCTCAGTGCAGGGGTGAAGAAGCCATCTGCTGCCCCCCTCCCCTCGCTCCAGTCTTCCGGACACCGTGCTGGATGAATCCCTGAGCCACCCAGTGCCTGGTCTGGAGAACACTTCTCCCTACTCATCCCATACAGGGCCTCCCAGCCACAGCGGCCCCTGCAGCTTCCTGGGAGACTCTGTAGACACCCCTGGTGTCCACCTCACACCCCTTCCATCTCCCCCCACCGCCCCCCAGCTCACTGGTGCTTCTGCCAGGTAACTCCTTACTTCCATGCTGCCCTTTGCCCGTGACCTGCCTCTGGGCTCCTCCCTGACAAGGCCTGGACCCACGCTGCCTGCTCTGCACTGCCCTTGTGTCCTGCCTCAGGGGGGCTGGAATCAGAATGTAACCTCTTTCAGCTGTTCAGTCCCTGCCCTTCCTAATATTAATAGCCAGCGGGTGGCATGGCACAAGCACGTCAGGGCTTCCACAAATATCGGTAGAATGAAATGTCCATCTCTTTTATTCACATGAAATTCTACTGCAGTTATATTCGGGCTTAAAATCATTTTTGTTGGACTTAAAATGATTAATTAGGATATTTTGTTTTGCACAGTTTTGGGCTGTTCCATCATTCATTGAAAACAGACCAGGATTTTGATACTGTCTGCATTTAGAAAATTCTGTGACAAATGCATATGCCCTAAAGCTGTGGTCGGCAAACTCATTGGTCAGCAGAGCCAAATATCAACGGTACAACGATTGAAATTTCTTTGGAGAGCCAAATGTTTTAAACTTAAACTTCTTCTAACGCCACTTCTTCAACATAGACTCGCCCAGGCCGTGGTATTTTGTGGAAGAGCCGCACTCAAGGGGCCAAAGAGCCGCATGGGGCTCCTGAGGCACAGTTTGCCGACCACGGCCCTAAAGGAAGCATAGACTAAAGGTGGTCTGTACCAAGGCCTGGTCCTCGGTGTCATTGGCTCATTTGAGTGCAAGGTGGGATTTGAGTGCAATGTGGACTTCTCAGAATTCATTATCTTCTAAGAGTAAAACAGGGGCATGTGGGAAACAGAACCAAATGACTGGCCCTAGCCGGACCAAAGGGTCCTGGGTTCGATTCCAGTCAAGGGCAGGTACCTTGGTTGCAGGCTCCTCCCTGGCCTGGGCCCTGGTCAAGGTATGTGCAGGAGGCAACCAATCAATGTGTTTCTCTCACATGAATGTTTCTCTCTGTCTTTCCCTCTCTCTCCCACTCTCCCTAAAAAAGTCAATGGAAACATATCCTCAA